GCTATGGAGTCTCAAGCCCAGAATTCTTTCCACTAAAGCAAAGCAGAGAATGGCCACCAAGAACCTTCACTCCAGTCAGTGTGCCCACTGCTCTTAGACACTCATCGCTTCCGTGCCCTCCTCTCTGCTAGTCACTGGCTCATTCTATGGGCTTCTCAAATTATCTAGGACATGAGGTGAGATGAGAGGAGAGGAGATGAATGTGTGTGAGTTAAACTTCAGATGTGCACAGAACAAAAGCAATAGCATGCATAAGCATACTGAATATCATGTCTACTATTCTGTCATCCTGCTGTACTCAGCAGGCTGTGGTCAATATGAGAAAAATGGAAGTGCCTAAATAAACTGGGAATTGCTGCAACTCCACATGGGACTTGAATAGGTAACTACCCCTCTCCAGAGGATCAAGGCAGCCATAATTAAAAGTTCCAAATTATGTCTTCAATAATATTACTCTTTTAAGATATCATCTCTCTTCTCCCATACTGCAAACTGGATGAAGTCCAAACTTCTTAAATGTGACACAAAATGCCTCTAACTGGTCTTTATATCCTCCAAACAATTGTATTTCTATGAATGACTATACTAGTTATTAAACTAGTTAACAGACTTCTGCACATCCTTTCTGCACAATATAACCCCTCACGGCTCTATACATTTGCACATGCTATGCCTCCCACGCATCATATCCTCTATTGCCTTCCTCAACTGCCTCCTACCTTTTTAAAGTCTGACTAGAGAATGTGAGGGTGATCTGGCTATGACATCTGTCACCCCACTGGTCACCAGAGTTGATTCGACTGATCTGGCTGGCTAGGCGAGGGTCCCCTTCCTCCCTCACTGCTTGCTCCATGTACTGCACTCCATAAGCTGTGTGCTCTGTAGAAGACGAAAACCACCCCAACAGAGGAGAATCCTTTCCTCTCTCCAGGGTACACAAGTAGCTGCACTCCCCTGCTAGAACCTCCAAGAAGCTCTCAGAATCTGACTGCAGTCCTGCCATCCCCGTTGGTCACTCATGAGCATCACGATTCTTGTGTTCATGCTTTTATGTGAGTTGTTATAGCATTATTGTTAATATCTCACACTTTGATCTTCTCAGACACTGTTTGGTATTATTACACTGTTAGTTATTGAACTTTGCCATAGATGTTCCTTCCCAACACTACTCCAATTCCTTAGAGAACAAAGTTTAAAATTTCTCTTCACAGATATTGATTGATATTGTTGTATTGTTAGTTCCCGAGCTATGTCATAGATCTTGCTTTTGCAACACTACCCCAGGTCTTTGGGCAGCAAAGTTTAAATTCATTATCTGCCAGGGCGCCTTGAAGTTCCTAGCATAGAGGAAGAGTTCAGTCAATATTTACTTCTTGAATGAACTAACAGTGCCTAGCAATGTTCTCCTTTATATTCCTCCCTGCCTAGTCTATACATGGGTGCTGTGGCACTCTGACTGTCCTGAATTATGTAAATGAAGGCAACAAGGAATATATGCTGAATATGAGCTGCCAACATGTGATGATTATAGAAGGAGATATATATATATATATGAATTTTTTCATATTCTTATTCATTCATAGCCCCTCCATGAATAGTATTTCAACTTTATCCTTCCAATAATCCAGGGATGGGTTAGGCTGGAATTTTTATCCCCCCTGCAACATGGGAAGAAATCGAAGTGTCTGTGTTTCTCTAAAGTCAGAGAACAGCATGAGGCCAGGATCAAAAATGACTAGATCCTCGGATTCCCACCCTTAGGCTTCCTTGGGTCTTGGAAAAATTAAATAAGACACAATAATAAATGAATACGTAACAAACAGGAAATGACAATATGCAAGGCATCTGGTAGAATGAAATAATTATATCTGGTGGAAGATCCATCAAAGAAAAAGAATAGGTAGGGAAAGGACACTGGAGAATACTTCTTTGTAGAGCCTTTAAGCAGTATGAGGAATCTCAGTAGTAGGGAATAACCCTTGGATGATTTGCTGTTCCTCCATTACTTGCAGTTTGAAATTATAGATTTAAGCAAAATTCCAGTGAGGAAAAAAATCTCTCTTTCCTCTAATACTTAAGCATCTCTTGATAATGCTATGAGAACATGCTCTTGAATTAAACAAGTAAGGATCAAAGGAAGTTA